TCATTAGCAGCCTATTCAAAATATAGCGATAGCGGGAAGCTTGAAAGATGTGTTATATGAGACCAAAGATCATATGACACTATTGTAAAGTACAGTAGCGAAATGGATTAGAAATGAGTCAATGATCAGGCTAAAGTTATAGGCTGAACAGTACTAGAGAGTAGTAAATGGTGTTAGAAGGAGGAGTTAAGGGAATAGGGAGCATTATGATGAAGTACTGTGGCGAAAACGGCAAAAAAATGGTTAACTATTAGACTAAGTGGATCGAACAAGGCGACCAAGAAAAGAAAAAGGAGAGAAGTGAAGAAAAGACAATGCAAGTTTAGTTCAGGCGAGGGCTGAAGACTAAGGTTGGTATGATCCCCTACTTTGGGCCTCAGTCCCCGTCTCCTAAGCGCCCCCCCCCCCAACGACGGCAATCAGCAAGGGATGGGGGGGGATTTATATTTTAGTGGATTGGCCCTCTCCCTCTAACTGTACTATATTTCACTCTCCCAGGACGGAGACTAATCCTTTGTGGCTAGCGGATCCTTCTGCTCGAGTCTCCATCCCTGCCTTGTCTTCCAAAGCTCAAACACACACACGCACACATACACACAGGCACGCACCCAATAACACGTGTGTATGTTTCTCAGTTTTGAATTCTTTCAGGTACAACGTTTCTTTTGCCCTCAATATGAACAAAACCTTCCTGGTGTCCTACCCGCGGTCCGGCAACGCCTGGACTCGTTACCTGGTGGAGGGGGCGACGGGCGTGACTACAGGGGCGGTTTATTCAGACGAAGACCTCATTCACTTCCGTAAGAGACTCGGAGAACGCGCGCGGTGAGACGGGGGAAAATGTTCGCGTTCATGGTTAACTGTTTCGTTTTGTTCCGACTCGAGGTGTTGAAGTATCGAACGTTTGGATATCAGTCTTGGTACTGTAATATTTCGTTGAGGTCGGCAAGGAAAGTTGAATTAATAACTACACATAAATCTTCAAAGATTCAGTTATTCATATGTTCTTTTATGCATTATCCAACCCATTACTTACGAATGGGATGATATACAAGTCTTTTCCCTATATTTTAGTATATTAACCCATTCCCGCCGGGCATGCCATACCAAGGCCACTGTGAGATTACTTGTTAGATTGTTTTCACACATAGATGGCTACACTTGTACTAAATCACCAATGAGCCAGTTACGAGAACCGCCTGTCTCGCCCGTTCACCCTTTTCTTTGATTTACGAAATATTTTACGTTATCTTATTTTGCTGTTACTAATGTTAAAAAACATTATAAAAATTACAATGTTTATGATAAAAATAACACCATCGATATTCATGGCACTAGTGAAAAATACGTTTTTCCCGCCATTTCAAATCAGGCGCTAACAGACATTTAACAAAAAAGTATAGAAAATAGGCACAGCATTTTCCCCGGCGGCAATGGGTTAATTATGCTTACACATAGATGGCGCCACAAATATTCCGTAATTATTAGTCCTACCTATCTCATCTATTTACCATTTTCCTAGATTTTCGAAAAGATTCTCTTTTATATTTGTTGTTATTAGTATTTCAACATTATAATAACCATAATGCCAATAATATTACCAGTATCGAAATTAATATCATTTGAAAAAAATCCGAAACTTCAAAACATAGAGAACTCAGTTGAGGTCTAATAAAGTACTTATTGGCTGAGCACTCATGGAGCCATCTCTGTGCTATAATGTTTAAAAAATCATAGTAGACATGAAGCTGCGATCAGTGACGTTAACAATACAGTCATGTGCCTGTCATAACTTTGTTTCAAAGTTATGAAAGGCACAGTCATAATGAACATATGTACAAATGTTTTTTTTTTTTTTCACTTATTCAGTAATAAGTGAAAAAAAAAACAGTCACGGTAAAAAACGAAAATAAATCGAGAGGTTCCGAACTCATCAGACGAATAATAAACCGAAATGGAAATCCAGTTCGGTTTATTATTCGTCTGAATGGGAAATCGTGAAGAGTTCGAAACGTGTTGATTTATATTTATTCCTTACTATGGATGTTTTCCTTTTCATCTTTGCGTACACGTTACTGTGTTTGTGTTAGTAATTGATCTTTTTATATATAAACTGAACATTTCAAGTTTTTTTCCTAATATTCTTTATTTCTTTATTTTGAAAAAAAAGCAATCATGGTCTACTTGTTTTTGTATTTACTCTTTCTATTTATGCTAGGGATTTTATTTTAGAATTATTTCCTGTACGTCGGTCGACACAAACTTTTTTTTCCGATTCTGCTCTGCAGTTATAGTCATATTGTCTGTTATTAGCACCTTCTCCACAGGAGTAATTAGTGCAATGATTACACAATTAAAAGAGAATCTATACATCCAACACCCGTATTATTACAGCAAAATACATATTGGTGTATATATACCTGCATCTTGGATGGGAGGTCTTTTCCCAAAGCGTTGAGAGAGAGAATGTCATTGACACGTCTTGCTTGAGATAAATGTAAATATAAATATGAATATAGATATAGATATAAATATGGATATAGATATAGATATTGATATAGATACATATAAACCCTTTGATATTTGGTACTTGATATTGACATAAATACATATATATGTATAGTATATATAATCTATACAGTTTTTCTCTTTTACGTCCACATAGACGAGAACGAAAAAGACACATGGACGCATGTTAATAAATGAATAAATTAGAATTATATATATATATATTTTATATATATATATTTTTTTTAATGGTAAAGATGATTAAAGTATTAAGTCTGTGAATAATTAACATTAATGGGATTACTAAACATGAATACGCGTTATGCAACTTGCAAAAAAGCAACAAATTAAACAGCACAAGCGACAAAAAAAAAAATGGATTTCATGATACATCAAAGCAACTACTAAAACAGCAAAAGCGACGAGATAAAAAAAGCTCTTTTCACTAAGAGAAACAAAAGGAATCTGAATTATATGCTACAAACATATATCTATTTTCAGGTATAAAAAGCAACTTGGCGCAGCTGAAAGGGAAAGTTATCCTCGTAAGGATCCATTTCAACACGAGAGAAAGTGTTCCAGACGACGTTCCGGTTATATTATTACTAAGAAATCCAGCCAAGTAGGAGACATTTATATCGTTCTTGGAGCATTTACAATACATAGTTTTTAATTGATATTGATATTCTATTCTTGAATCAGAGAAGTAAGACCTTCAGTGATTGATGTGTTCAGATTTTTTCCCTCTAAGTAACTACTAATAGTTTCACTCTGTCACTAAACCTCACACGCAAATTTAACTCTACGGAATTATCACGCCTCGTTTCACATACTCGCTTTGAGGTTAAGCATGTTTGAATAGAAAAAAAAAACGTTTCTTTTGCAGGTCTATTGTTTCTTACTACAATTTTATGTGGGGAGAAGGAAATGTGAACAGGTATAGGAATGTAAGCTATGGGTCCTACTTTACAGAAAGTAAGTGAAGTTGTAAATGTATTTGAATGTTGTATTAATTGTTATTAATTGATGAGGATAATAATGATATTGATAAATTATAATAACAATAAAAATAATAATGGTAATAATAATAATAATAATAATAACAATAAAAGTAATAATCATAATGATAATAATAATAATAGTAGTGATAATAATAATAATAATGATAATAATAAGGATAATAATAATAACAATAATTATAATGATAAGGATAACAAGAACAACAACAATAATAATAATAGTAATAACAATAAAAGTAATGATTATAATGATAATAATAATAATAATAATAAAAATAATAATAATAGTAATAATAGTAATAATGATAATGATAATAATAAGAATAATAATAATGATAATGTTGATCATGATAATAATGATATTGATAATGATAATAACAATAATTATGATAATAATAATAATGATAATAATAATTATTATTATTATTATTATTATTATTATTATTATTATCATTATTATTATCATTATTATTATTATTATTATCATTATCATTAGTATAATCAATATCTTTATAATAATGATAACAAGCATAATAATAAGGCCAAAAATAATGGTGATGAGGAAAATAATTATAACAATAACAACAATAATAATAATAGCAATAGTAATAATAACATTACTAGTCATAGTAATAGTAATAGTAATAATAACATTAATAGTCATAGTAATAGTAAGAGTAATAATAACAATAATAGTAATAACAGTAATAATTATGATATTATCATTAATGCTAATAATATAACTAATAATAATAATGATAATAATGCTAATGCTAATAATGCTAATAATGCTAATGATAATAATGATAATAATGATAATGATAATAATGATAATAATAGTTACGTATCAAATAAACTATCGATTGCACTGACTCATTCCTGATTCTATTTCCAGGCTTTAAAAAGCACTTTGACATTCAGCTTCAGAGATGGACAAAGGTGAGATTACTACAAGCAATTTGTTTCTGAACTCATGCTCTAAAATGTATATCTTTCTCTCTCATTCTTTTCATTTTTTTCTTTCTTTCTTTCTTTCTTTCTCTCTTTTTTTCCCTCTCATTCTCGTTCTCTCTCTTTCTCGTTCTCGCGTTCTTCCTCACTCTCTCTCTCTCTCTCTCTCTCTCTCTCTCTCTCTCTCTCTCTCTCGTTCGTAAGATTAATGAAACATAGGCCTTCTATTGCTTACCACACTAGATAGCCTCGACTCTTTACACGTGGAACATTTTCCATATTTGATGTACTCATTTCCTTTCAATATTAGTAAAAATCATAACAAGGATCAGTTAACATAGAAAAATCTTGGACGTACTGGATCTTAAAAGGTCACTACATGAACTTTTCCTCTTTTTTTATAGTAATGAACTCATGAATATTAAAAACCTTGAGTAATGCCAGTAATTGCAATAACTAACTTTGGCATGACGTATAATTCCGTACTAGAGCATATTACATGTTACCAGTTTAATTAATGTA